CAGCAGCAACCCAGCCATCTCGCCCAGCAGCAGCAACCCAGCCATCTCGCCCAGCAGCAGCAACCCAGCCATCTCGCCCAGCAGCAGCAACCCAGCCATCTCGCCCAGCAGCAGCAACCCAGCCATCTCGCCCAGCAGCAGCAACCCAGCCATCTCGCCCAGCAGCAGCAACCCAGCCATCTCGCCCAGCAGCAGCAACCCAGCCATCTCGCCCAGCAGCAGCAACCCAGCCATCTCGCCCAGCAGCAGCAACCCAGCCATCTCGCCCAGCAGCAGCAACCCAGCCATCTTGCCCAGCAGCAACAGCAACCTAGTCTTCAATCAAATGCAAAATGGCTTTGGTCAGGGTATGTAAATTTATTCTGCATTCTGATTTCAGGTTTTAAAATAAAGATCTTCCTTAAATCCATTTTTTTTGGTGTTTCAGGCATCGCAACACTGGAGGTTCTACAAAGACTGCTTTCAACTGAGCCATTGCATTGACTTGTCAAATTAAAATAAACTATCCTTTTGTATCCTGTAATCTCTGCAACCCAGCTGTCTTGCCGGGCAGCAACCCAGCTGTCTTGCCCAGCGAGGTTCTACAAACACTGCTTTCAACTGAGCCATTGCATTGACTTGCCAAATTAAAATAAACTATCCTTTTGTATCCTGTAATCTCTACAATTCATCTGTTTCTTTTAGACAACAATAAAGTCCAGCATCACGTTGTGATCTCACTGACCTGAATACAGCTAAGGTTTCAGCATTGGTAGTTAATTGGTTGAGATTTCATCCATGTAAAAGTTTAGTTTCTGTGTTGCTTTAATTTGGGTCACGCTGCACTTTCACTATTGGGGAAATATTAATATAAAAAGCTGATTTCAACCAATTCATATTTGACCTACAAACATCCTTGAAATGCAAATAGTTTTAAGTTAGGAATAATTATTAACAGTTTTAAGTATTATTAAATACTATTTAATTATACTTGTATTCAATAAAAGCATACATCTTAAAATATTTAAGACTTAAAATGTACTCATTGTGATATAAATGGAAATGGAAGGCTGTCCATTTGACTCTCGGCTAACTACAGAAAACTCTGCAGGAGATGAGCAACATTCACAATATTCTACACATGCAATAAATGTAGCTGATTTATCTTGGTGATATTTCGTCATATTATTGGCTCAAGAGTACTCATTATTTCACATGTGCTACTGGGAGGAAATGAGTCCCACTAACGGCGCATGCATTTCTACAGGGTGACAACGAGGTGTCAGCCACAGGTCAGAGTCCAGGAGGAGGTGCGTTAGAACAAAAAGAACTGAGCAGCCAGGTGAATGTTTATCTGGCCCGCCCCACACTACGTGACACAAGCACCACGTGACGCTCAGTCCAGGGAATCTCTTTGAAGTCTTTGAAAACGCTCGGACGAAACTGGAGCGTCAAAGTTTGCTTTCGTAGTCGCTTCCTTATGTACTGACGGCGTGACATCTCAGTCCAAATGGAGCACCTACGGAACATAAAAATGATGATTAAAGTCATAGCTATTGTTTTGTACTGGAGAGGTAAGTGTCACACATTGTTTTTTGTTGTTCCAGTGTGAAGTTGAAAAGGAAAGCTCAGTGTTTCTCTTTTGCACAGTTTATTGTATTGTTTTTTGCAAACTCGTCTCCACCCTCAGGCAGTCAGGTATTTCAATTCAATTTATTTAGTATAGCCCAAAATCCAAAATTTGCCTCAGAGGGCTTTACATTCTGTACACATATAACTGTCCTGGGACCCTCACATTGGTACAGGAAAAACTCCCCCAAAAAAACCTTTAACGGGGAGAAACAAAACGAAGAAACCTTAGAGAGCAACAGAGAAGGGATCTCTCCATCGGGATGGACAGAAGTGCAATAGATGTCATGTGTACAGAATGAACAATATAACAGAGTTACAACACATTCAATGCATATGACAGAAATTATTCATATAATGAGAGTAGTAAGCAGAATAATGATTGAAAAAGTATGACTACTAATAACAGCAACAGTGGATACAGTAGAATAACAATAATAATAAAAGCAGTAATGGCATTGGTAATAGTAATGTGACTAATTATAATATTGATAGTAGCAGTGGGTGTCAGCAGGACCACAGCAGGAGGCAGGACCAGGGTCCAGATATAACCACGATCCATGGAAACCTGTGAGGAGAGAAAGCACAAAGACTATGGGGTAGAAGCAAAGTTAGTGATGTGCATTAATGGGACATGAATTCATACAGATAGAGAGGAGCTCAGTGTATCACAGGAAGTCCTCCGGCAGTCTATCTAAGGGCTGGTCCAAGGCAAACCTGAGCCAGCCCTAACTATAAACCTGAGCCAGCCCTAACTATAAACCCGAGCCAGCCCTAACTATAAACCCGAGCCAGCCCTAACTATACTCGTTATCAAAAAGGAATGTCTTAAGCCTACTCTTAAATGTGGTGAGTGTGTCTGACCCCTGAAGTGAAACTAGAAGCTGGTTCCACAGAAGAGGAGCTTGATAACTGAAGGCTCTGGCTCCCATCCTACTTTAATAATCTCTTCTGTGTTTTTCAGGTTCCTCAGCCGACGCTACAAGGAGGATCAGTGTCTTGGTGAGTGCAAAGGTGACTCTCAGCTGCCTTTTTGACAAACTGTCCAAGCTGGCGGAGTGGAGCGCTCTCACCATCGAGTGGAACGTGGTGGATAAGCATGCGGAGAAGAGTGTCGTGTACACTTTCGAGGACGGCAGGGCGCATGTGAACAGAGATGGCTCTGTGGTGGACAGAATGCAGTTGCTAGAGGGCGATGCATCTCTGCAGCTTCGTAACGTTACCGTGGGAGATGGAGGGCTGTACACCTGCAGAATCATCACACCTGTGGTCTACACGGAGACTACTTTGCTGGAAGTGCTGGGTATTCTGTTTCTATCGCTTCTCATCTGTGTCACATACTCCACGTGTGCAACTGATTTGGAAACACTGTCAGAGGTTAGGTTAGAATTTTTCCTAACCAGCCCAGAAAATACTAATTGTGTTTCAGTAAATTATATATCAATCCTATTTATCACTGAGAAAGGTTATACAAAAGTCATACTCTAATTTAAACACAATTTTCCTCCTAATGTCAAAGACCCCTGGCAGTCATTGTAGTTGCATATCAGATTCATTTTTTTGGGGGCCGCTCCCTGCTTACATATGATTATAATGATAACGATAAATGAAAGGTGTTGTTCATGTAAGGAAATCTGCTTATTTGCTTTCTTGCTAGGGGTTTAGAGAGAAGATTGATGTCACTCTCACGTCTTTAGGGTTAACATGAAGTTATCAGCTGTTTAGCTTAGCTTAGCACATAGACCGGCAACAGTTGGAAATAGATAGCCTGGCCCTGGCCCTTTCAAAGTTTCCCCATTGCCAGTCTTTATGCTAAGCTAAATGAACCTGCTGCTGGCTGTGGCTTAATATTTTTTGTGCAGGACAAGCTTGAAACACAATACTGACAATTATCACTGTATAAAGTTGTTAAGGCAAACATAGTAGCAAACCATTGCTTAGTTATACATGGAGTTGTGTTTCTGCTCCTCTTTTAGCTCTGTTTCGGTCTCCACCAAACTTCTGTCTCTAGCTGATTTGCTTCATTACAGTTATATGTCCACCATGGAAGCTAATCGCTAATCTGTTGTGCTGTTATTGATTGGGCTGTGGTATATGTCAGTTTCATTTTGTCTGTTTTTCACTCATTTTGCTACATTGTTTTCTAAGTGGAAAGTTCAATGGCATATTTAGCTAGCATTGGTAGCATGATAGCTGTGTAACAAATAGAGTGCAATGCATATCGTGTTACTGTACATGTCTTTTAACAAAATATATCACAAAGCTGGATAACTATGCTTTCAAACTTGGAAAAATAAATCATAAAATTGTATTACATTCATGGATCAGTTATTTACTCGCTAATTCCCCGAGGAAGTTAGCATTAAACTTCCTGTGCCACAAAAGGTACACATTTTGAACAAACTTGAGACAAAGACATAAGAGATCCTGAAGGAATCAAGGGCTATGAGGAATCGAGGTGTGACACGCCACCAAAAAACATATAGCCTTAAACGTCTTGTTTTTTTGATCTCTCCCTCAGCTCGGCCTTCATTGTCGCTCCCGGAAACGGCGGCGGTGACGGAGGGGCAGGAAAAGATGATACAGTGTGACATCACAGGTTTCTATCCAGAGAAACTGTCCGTGACATGGCACATCCAAAATGGCTCCCACACTGTCCACGCGAGCGCCAACCTCCTCTCCCGCGTCTGCACCGAAATGTCCACTCGCAACCCAGATGGCACCTTCAGTATCCGCAGCGGCATCACACTGCACTCCTCAGCCGTGAAGGATGGAGAGATGCACATCATCTGCCAGGTGGAGCACCAGACGTTCAGCCGGCCGTACAACAGATCTGTTACACTGACTGTTCAGGGTGGGATTCCATTCCGTCTGTCATTCTCGAAACTCTGAATTAAAGTCCTTATCCATAAAGAATTATGTATTTCTTATATGTAATCTGGATCTCTCGAATCCTTTCCCCCCCTGCAGCTCCGTCACAGCCCCTTTACAGTGCTGTCACACTGATAGCTGTCACCAGTGTCATCAGTCTGCTGCTGGTTACCTCTGTCGTTGGAGGCGCTCTGCTTCTCTACACCTATTTCTGTCAAGGTATGTCTCAATATGAACAAAGTGCATTTTGTTTTATTGACACTATTTTTTAAATAATTACAGTTAGACTTAGTAACAGAGTTTGAAGTGAGCGGATGTGAATGCGATACAGTTTGATAAATCACATATTCACTGTATACTTGTTCAGTACGCCAGATTGTCTGCAGAAAGATCTTAACCTGAATTCATTAGAATGCGGCAATTTCATCAAATTCAATATTTTTCACAGTTATCACCTCCTATTACATTCTCACTCTCAACTTATCATAGAAAACTTAACACTTTACGCACCCCCCATAGTGTCAGTTTTGGACGTGTCAGGGACGCAGTGTCAATTTCCGCTTGTTTCTTTTCCAAAATTGGTTGTCTTAGTTTCTCATGTACTTGGTTAGGTTAGGCTAAGAATGCTATGTAAGTTACGCAATAAAAGTAAAGTAACATAAGTCAACATTGACTTGGTTACACATGAGGCACAAACATTGGTCTCCTGGGTGAAAATCCTGTGTTTGGCACGGGCCAAGAAAGAACCCATTCAGTTTTTGGAGCACATCCTAATCATGAAACATTATTTTTCACTGTCGTTAACATTATGAGGCAGGGCATGGCGATCTCCAGAGAGCCCCTCCACTTATTGATAGTACTAGTTGTTCCAGAAGCAGTAGCAGAGGTGTAATGTTGCTAAGTACATTTACTTTAAGTCTTGTTTTAGTCTTCTGACCTGAGTCATTCAGAGGTGACACAAACTTGAAATGATCAACCAGAGTGAAACACTGTGTTTTCTGTCAGGTGTGAAGATAATCCAAAAAAACAAAACAGGGACAAAAATACAAAGGTCATCAAGTGGGACAGGCGGAGTATTTGTATTAGTGGATTAGAGTATTAGTGGATTGAAGTGGTACTTCAATCTACTATTTCCATTTTGTGAGAGTTTATGTCTTAGGCTACTTCACTATGTTTCTGGGAAATCTTGTACTTTTACGTTCATCTTAATGGTTAGTTTGCAGAGCGGGTTCATGTTTAAAGTGTATGAGATTGTAAACTATGATGCCGTGTTGGAGCTTAAACTAGTCAACAGTACATGGAGCAATCATACATTGGTCTGTCAAATATAAGGACCAAACAAGTGTATTAGTAAGGTGTTGTTTAAAGCCTCAAGAACAGCGTCAGGGCTCCTTAGATATTCTGAAGACATTCTTCAAAGAAACTCCCTCATTTGTTCTTCATTTACTGAACTCCAAACTGAACAAAGTTGGGTTAAGATCTGTTGACTGTGAAGGCCTTGCATTTGTCATAATATATGTATAATTCAAGTTTGAACCATCATAATAATTATGAAGAAATTATGATTGTCGCTGTCTTATTTGTGCAACAACGAGCATTTCTGTCTCTCTCCACAGCTCCACCAAGTGTTTCTGAAATCAGCCTGCCCAGCATCGTATACGCTCGGATGCCGACCGACCTCAAATGCACCATCCGAGGAGCCAGACGGCGGGAGGTCAAGGTGAAGTGGTTTAAATTAAGAAGCGGTGACGACTCAGCAGTCCAGTCCGAATCTGTTTCTCTGTTGGTCGGTGAGGATCTGAGCGAGCAGGCTTGTCTCCAGTCGGACGGCACATGCCATACATCTGTCCTGACTGTGTGTCTGACTGTCGTTGAAGACCGGACCGAATACCACTGTGTGGTGCTGTGCAGGGGCAAGAGCTTTTGCAGAAAGACCACAGTCCGGGTAAAAGGTGGGAAACTAGTGCCAAGAGCATACTGTATTCACATCACTCTATTATGTTTACCGAAACAATCAGGAGAGATCACTTGGTGTTGAACTGTAATTTGGTGGCGTGTTATATTTAACCCCCTGACCCTTTGTCTAGTGCCACCATCAGGTCAAACCTTCCCTTAGATCAACACTTTGCTCCACGGTGAGTTATCTTGAAAATATATATTCGCCAGAGTTCCATAAGTTTGCTGTGCATATTCGCGGCCCTCGAGGGAGGAATCCTCTTGTTTTTTGGCGACCCCTTGACCTTTTATCTACTTTCACCATCAGCCCACATTTCCCACCGAACCCTCTTTATTTTAATGACCCTATGGCCCTTCCTCTGGCACAAGCATCTCACAACAAACTGTACATTTTTAGCTCTACATATGGCAAAAGTAATCTCTGTCAATATCAATATATGTCAAGTATTCAGTATATTTTTGTCCTTTTCCGTATTGTGGTAGTGAATACTTCAGAGCGACCAGTGCCACTGGTTTGAACAAATGAAATTGCACAATTTTAAAATCTGACATAATGCCCTATTTCCCATTTCCCAGTTTAACATAGGTGATAATCCAACTGAGCACATACCTGCTCCCCTAAACTTGCTGTTTTTCTGCTCAGTTTGGGTAGCTATGTTTGCTCTAAAGAGCTAGTCCATTTTATTGTTGTCCTGCTGCCTTGCTGTTCCAAGAAAGATGTTTGAGATCCTGAAATCCTGTTACCAGGTACCATCCCACCCGGGAAGCAAAAAGGCATCTTTTCTGACAAGCTAGCAGTTAGCCATTTCTTTCCTGGAGAAAAATGTCATGCTAAATATTAGTTCCTCTTCAAAAGGCCTTTAAATGTGGGCTGTAGAAGATAATCCACATTGTTCATAGTGACCACAGTTACTATCTTCTTTTAAAGAAATACAAACATCTGCCAACAGTTCTAAGCAAATAGTTAATCCATTTATTTTCCCACACTCTGAGCTCTTCACATTGTGTGGGGCTGTCCCCACATAGTGACCTCTCGAGCCAAGCACAATTAAAACACCATTTAAAAACTATTCTATCCGGCCACTGAACTTAAATTGTAGAATAATGAGAACACAGAGGATGTTTTATGTCATGCATTTTATCCACAATTATATTGATTTCTAAATTTGTGAGTGCCACTAAAACCACACTTTTATTTACTCCACTTGCGTCGTTGCCTCTGCAAGCAAAACCCTTGCCCATTGACACATCGTTATTATGCAGGATAACCACCGCTTCACCCAGCTTTATCTTTTATAAGGTGCTGGAAGTATAAAAAAGCTCAAACTGGTAGAATAGATATCCACACACTTAAATCTATGCAGAGAACACTTTACTATTTGCTTTAGGTCTAAAGGACCTTCGTCAGAGCATACATGGTTCACATCGTTATTGTAAAAGTGTTGATTGACTTTAAAGGCACCCTGTCTGGACAGATAAACCACAGACAGCTATGAACATATGTCAATACATAATGCAAGATACATTAGCGAGACAAGTTCCCTCAGTCAAGATCACGTCAGCATAACACTTACTAGTGTTTATGCAAATTCAAAGAAGCTTTTCTTCTTGCGTAAAGTTTAGGCAAACTGACCTCATGATATTATTTATCACAACTAATGAGATTATATTTGAAATTGAAGGAACAGTAAGTGTCACTTTGCCAGTGCCATTATTACACTAGTTCTATCTGTGAAGACCAACCTGAAATGCTTCGTGATATTTTCTGCAGATGGAACATATGACTGTATGTTCTGTATTGTTATCTTCTCCCGTGAAGAACTCTTCTATTGTTCAACACAACTGTCTTTGCCTGCCCCCCACCCCCCACACACTCCAGTGGAGCCGTCTTTCCTCCAGATCACCAGCATCCCTCAGATCCCCAGGGTGGAGTGGCTGCTGGTACTCTGCTGTCGGGTGGAGAACTTCTACCCCCGGGACATCAACCTGGAGTGGACCAGAAGCGACGGGGAGCAGGTCCGCACCGTCACTCACTTCGGACCTTTCTCCAACCACAGCCGTCTCTACAGCGTGTGGAGTGAGATTCATCTACGCATGGCCAGAGAGGACGAGAGGGCCGTCTACACCTGCCGGGTTTACCACTCCAGCTTCCCTGCTCCGGGATACAAAGATGTCCTGTACCACATCAACACTCAAGGTACCTGCACCGAACGTGGAAAGAAAAAGATAGGACAACACGTTTGGAGGTCGCCAAAAGGCATGAGGGAGACTCCAAACATGTTTTGTCTTCTTTATTTTTTCTTGAAGCGATGTCTTTTTTCTGGCCACTCTTCCATAAAGCCCAGCCCTGTGGAGGGAACGGCTTACAGTGCTCCTATGGACAGATAGCAGCTCCTTCAGGGTCATCTTTGGTCTCTTTGTTGCCTCTCTCATTAATGTCCTCCTGGTCCGGTCTGTGAGTTTTGGGCCTCTCTTGGCAGGTTTGTTGTGGTTTGTAATAATGGATTTGATGATGCTCCGTTAGATCATGTGACACTTAGATTGCACACAGGTGGACTTTATTTGGACTAATTATGTAACTTCTAAAGGTAATTGGTAGAACCAGATCTTGTTGAGGTGCTTCATAACAAAGGAGGGAAATATATATGCACGCACAACTTTTCACTTTAAAAATAGAATAATAATTCCAAGAGGGGGTGAATACTTTTGCAAGGCAATGCACATCAAATGTGACAATTTATTCACGTCAAACTGCTGCCCTCACAGTAACAACTTTGTTTCATGGCATGTGTGAACAGGAACTCCTCCTGATGTGATGTTCATTGACTGCGAGCCGCTGTGTCCTCTGTTGGATGAAGAGTGTACTCTGCACCTGTGCATCAGAGACTTCTGTCCCGAGGACGTGTCAGTGACTTGGACTAAAGATGGAGAGATGGTTCCCTCCGGCGTCTTCAACACTCCCCCGAGCCTGAACATCAACGGCCTCTACTCCATGTTCACTTTTCTCAAACACACCCCCAAGGAGGACGACTGGGGCTCTGAGTTCAGGTGCCGGGTGGTCCACAGCGCCCAGATGGCGCCTGAGGAGAGGCTCTTCACACTGCCTGCAGCCCACAGCTGGCGTCTGAGGGACGGCTGCTGATGTCCTCACTGTGGAAACGCTTGTATTTCCATCTACGGTGGTTCAATTTGTAGATCAGAAGAGATAAGCCAGAGTTTTGGACATTAAAAAAGATATCTGGCCTAGTCATTACTGTCCATGATGCAGTGGCTCTTTGTCAGTAGGGAACCTACATTTAAATGACCTCTTTCCAGAGCACCAAGTATCAGAAACTGTAGTACCTTTATGTTATTTAAACACAGTCCAGGTAGAACATCATAGAAATACAACATAAACGGGGTTTCACATTTTCATGATAAAAATAGGGGTAGTTATTTTTCTTTTTGTGTACATTATAAATTAGACCAAACCTCATAAAACTTCTCTTGATAATTATGGGTCCTTGTGATTTACAGATTCCAAATCCCTGTGTGACTCTTTCAGTAACGGAGAACGATCCTTGAAGCGCCGGTAAAGCCTGCCGAGGCCAAGGTCCAGTTCATTCCCACATTAAATGAAGAAAAAATCCTTATAGTATTTTATATTGTATTTTATTTAGGGAAACATTTTTGGGTAATAATTTGAAGTCCCCTCTAAATAACAATTTATTTATAATGGGGATTTCCTTGTAATATCAAAATCCTAGAAATAATAAGGAAATTCAAATTACAAAATTTACAGACACACAAAATAACGTGTTACCACTGCTTGTGCAGTTTTGAGGTGTTTGTGTCAAATTTTCTTAAATACAATTGTTGTAGGAAAATGTCAAATACTATAATATCTCTGCTCTATGTATATACGTTCTCATGCCCACATTTTATTCAACATGTTGTGACTTTTTCAAGCACACAATGTGAGAATGGACAAATGAATGTCCTCAAGGTTACTCCACACAAATGGGAAGCTCCCAGATTCAGTGAGAACATTTTCTATTTGAAAAGAAACGGTAGAAAATGCTTTTCTGCTAACTCATTTATATACTGTATGCACTGTTGTTTCCCTCTGACCAAACACAGCATTTTATTGTACACAATGAACCTGCAGATAAACCTGCCCGATAGTTCATCAGTGGTGGAATGTAACTACATTTACTCAAGAAGCTTCAGTAAATACAAATACAGATACTTGCACATGTTTCTGTTTCATACTACTGTATACTTCTACTCTACTCTACATGTATTGGATAGCTTTAGACCCTATAGCATGGACTGTATTAAATCGGGATGTAGTAAAACCAAATATCATTAATTCATTTTCAGAACACAGACTCAGATGCTGCAAGAATGAGCCCTAAACGTGAAAATGAGTCTCGAAGAAAATGGATTTCTGAACGTGTTTCTGGTTCGATGCCTGAAATAATGAGGTCTGTGGTCGACAAGCTGTAGAGATGTTAACATTAAACGTCTTAAAAAGGCGGTTCCTATTCACGTGACCGTTTGTTTAGCCTAACGTAAACTTTATACTTCTGCCTATTGCATTCAAGCTTCAAAAATCATAAAGTTATGTTCATTTGTGAAAATGATCTTGCTGAACAAAACGTGTTCATGATAATAAAAAACGTTTGTTTTTTGTTGTTGAAGGAACCAGTGCGAGGCCAACTTCCTGGTTAGCTTACACAAATACATCATTCCTGCAGTGCTCTATGACTAGACAATGCAACTCTTTGTTTTAGTGCATGTTTTGTAAATTGTGGTTGAATGCATGTCCTAATAATATAATTAAAGAATTTATTTCTAGTTTTAAGTTTAAAACCTCTTTATCACTGTAGTTTGTACTGTGTGAATATGTGAAAACACTGCATTATCTGTGTGGATGAGAATTAGTTATTGTTTAATGAACTATTTAAGCATGACACAATGATCACATTTAATTGTTGGACTCATACAATAATACTAAATAGATAAACACGGGTCACGTTGGACCAGCTCATTTATTGCAGAGAATCTCTGTTGTGAAAACAGAGTCGGAGCAAACATGAATGACAGAAGCATATACTGACTACAGTAAATCACTTTGGCGTTGGTCAGCGTTTGTATCATATACGTCTGGTTTGATTCATAATCTTTAACATATTTAACCATGCCATTAGCATTTCCAGACATTTCTTACAAAACATTCTTAGATACAAAAATCATAATATAAACATTAAGGCTTTTACATACTATTTGGAGTCATACAATGATGCACAGAGAATAATAACAGCCTCACTCATATCAGCTTTAAATAACTCTTTCTGATTGTATCCGTGTGTCCAGTGCAGGTTTGTCATTGTATGGATTTATTTTACAACCTGAAACTATCACATCTCAGAAAAACCTTTACACTGAACATCTTGGTCCATAAATATTTGTCAGAAACTTGACTTTAAGTCATATTGCAGGAATGTGCCATGTTTACCAACAACAGTTTACTACTACACTCATGTACTTCATATTACTCCGAATATATTGACATTGTACAGACTATAAGGCATTGGAAGGCATAGCAGTAAACTATATGGGCTCATTATTATTACAGTAATACATTCGTATTTCGAAGCAGAGTGAATATATTTGTATTTGATTAAATCTGACTAATATTTTTTGTTTGTTAGGAGCATTTAAAACTTGTATTTGATTTACAATTCACATTATTATTCAGTTCACGTTACAAATGTACACAAACAAATGGGATGTTTTCAATACCTGTACCAGCTGTTATGGCACCTGTAAACCAGACCCAAATGTTTACCTAAAATAATAAAACTAAACTCCAGCCCAATGTATAAAATGCGAGTTCATTTTGAGATTAAAGACGTAGGCAATGTGGTCAGAGTTTCTGGTTTGTGGAGGACAGGGTAGAGTCCCTGATCAGCTGAAGTCTCGGTTGGTCAGGATCATGGGGGCCACCAGGGTCCACATGTACAGGGCCAAGCACACCCAGCTGGAGGTGATCTTCACCCACACTGCTGGCCACTTGCTGGTTATGGTGTAGTCTGCATCCGGGCTGTCAACAACCGAACACAACAAACACAACAAACTCTCAGTCTTCCATATCTATGTACTTTGTGTCTAAAGTTGCTGTAAGCATTTTTTGTAAAAGATCCAACATCTGTCAAACTGTTTTATGCAGCTGGATGGATATATAGGCTGTGTTGGGAAGGGGAGGACTGACCTGTACCAGTTGGTGAGGGTCATCATAATGTAAAGTGAGGCCAGGAAGAGCATGAAGTGGAAGAAGGAGTAGCTGTACTGGACCATGTCACGCTCATTGTCCTCCACCCGCCTGGGTCCTGTGGACTCCTCTGAGAGGTCAGGGCTGCTGCCGCCCTCAGCCAGGATGGCCGAGTCTTTGGAGGCCATGGTCAGCTTGTTCACCTGGCTGGTGCTGGACGAACGAATGCTGAGGGAAGAATAAAGAGATAAATGGATACTGTATGTCCAAACTGTGCTTTGTTTTTGCAATGGGCCTGAAGTGCACAACATCCTATATTTATCATACTGATAGGTAGTTGGTTACTTAAAATCTTTCTTTAGCCACACGAGCAAAGTTCAGATTGACAAAACAATTTCACCTCAGGTCCATCTAGTCGCTGTTCTGGGACTTTTGATCATATCGCATGATCTTCCTCTGCAGATGGACTTTGTCCAGTTGACATAGAATATTAGATTTTTAAAGTTACTATGGAGGAACTTTTAAGTGGTTATTATTGTTAACAGATCTACTTAAGTAAACAAGACCATCAGAGTGAAGATGGTCTATTTCTATAGAGTTATTCTTAATGCTCGTCATCGGTGCCACCGGGTTGGATTCCTGCCAAATCAGATGAAATCATGCAGGTTCACCAGAAACTCCTTCAGCTCAGACTCCAGCGGGGCCTCCAGCAGAGACCGGTCCACC